CATGATGGGGGTCCTGGTCCATGAATAGATCTCCTAGGTGCTACCACAATACAAATAATGAGTACTACTATAGTACTAGCCGTGGGCTGCACTATGGCAGATAGTATTGGCATTGTGCTGTTACTATTAAACCCCACGCATGAGTAGGCCAGGAGTTTTAAGCCTTCGGCCATGAAAGGAGATGTGGTTTGTCCAGGGTGACCCTTCTGCAGAGCTCTGGACCTTTAAAATGTACAACTCTTGTTATTGATATTTACTATTGGCATTGCTGTGACACCTAGAGACCGTGGGGCTAGGCACTGTATATACACAGAACAAAGATGGTGCCTGCCCCAAAGACCTTACAAAACCCCTGTGTGAGCTGCCTCTCACGCTAGCACACTTTAACTGATATAATCAAGATTATTGCAGGACAGGATGCTACAATTCGCATTAATTTGTCCATTGGCAATAATCCTATGAAGTGCAATTAATCCCATTAGGTTTCAAGCCGCTTTTTTCCTTTTTCTGGTGGGTCAGATTGTGACGGGTTGGATCACAGAAACCCCCTGGGGGCTGCCATTTGATGTGCCAAGACTACTTTTGCCCCTGCTTTCCTGCCCTGGCAGCTTGGGACTCCAGCACCCTGTCTCGTTGAGCCAGACACGCCAGTCTGCTCCAACACAGACCCAGGGTCTGAACCATGTGCCCCAAAGCTGCAGACTTAACTGAAAGCAGCTTACAGAAGTGTTCCTGTCTTTAACACTCAGATGCCCAACTCCCAGTGGGGTCCAAACCCCAAATAAATTTGTTTTACTCTGTATAAAGTTTATACAGGGTAAACTCATAAATTGTTCGCCCTCTATAACACTGATAGAGAGCTATGCACAGCTGTTTGCGCCCCCCCCCCAGATATTAACACATACTCTGGATTAATTAATAAGTAAAAAGTGATTTTATTAAATACAGAAAGTAGGATTTAAGTGGTTCCAAGTAGTAACAGACAGAACAAAGTGAATTACCAAGTAAAATAAAATAAAACCCCCAAGTTTGAGTCTAATACAGTAAGAAAACTGAGTACAGATAAACCTCACCCTTAGAGGACTTTCAATAAGTTTCCTTTTACAGACTAGTCTTCTTCTAGTCTGGGTCCAGCAATTACTCACCCCCCCCTGTAGTCACTGTCCTTTGTTCCAGTTTTTTTCAAGTATCCTTGGGGAGATTTCATCACAGAGCCTCTCATTTCACCTATCAGTTCTATTAGCCATTCCTTTTCAGTGCCACCAATACACAAATTGGATTTTGAGAAAAGCTCTGAAACGGTTTCGGAGGCTAGCTGGGTACGTTTCGGAGGCAAAGCTATCCGGCTATCGGTTTGTAGTTTCCAAATGCTGTATTCAACCAGCTTATCAAATGCAAAAGCTGGAAAGCAGTTGCTGCCTCCAGAGCAGTTTTCTGATTGCAAAATATTGTAAAATAAACCCAAAATTAAATGGGGGGGGAAACCCCAAGTTGCAGCTGTTGGGCCCAACCCTGGAGCCCTGGATCTGCATTTGCTGAGTGCCCATGACTCCCACTGAAGCCACCACGATTCAGGGTGCTCACAAGGGCTTGGGCTCACACAGATCGGCCTTGTATGAGTGAGGGTTACAGGATTGGGCGCTATTTCTGTGTCTCTGACATGCGCCATTCACAGGCCTTGGTCTGTAGGGGCTATTACAGTATTTCACCACGCCCTGAGCAGCAAGTGCTGCCGGGCTGCCCCACCGCATGGGAAGGTTGAGGAGAGATTGTGCCTCTGGGACCACAACCACCTTCTCCCCCAAGTGGTCTGGGATTGCTCCATCTTTCTGCCCATAGTGTGGCTGGCCCACCCTGTGCATTAGTGCCAGATCGGGTTCGGGGGCAATGGACCCTCCTCACCTGCCTCCGCAACCTTCGGGGCACCCGGTGCCCCTAGTGGCAGAGCAAGAGGGCAGGCTCAGGGCAGCCAGTCATGGTCCAGTGCATAGGCTGGTGCAGATGGGGAGGCCATGACCCTGTCCCCCACTACCCTTTTCGGTGCATCATGTGCCCTGGGGCAGGGGGCATGCTAACAGAGCAGTTCCGATGCACTTCCAAGTACCAGCACTGCCATTCTGAAATTATGACAGGCACGTATGCAGGCTACTGAAGAATGAGGAGTGGGAGAGAACGGGAAAGTCCCTGGTGCCGTGAATCACCCCTTAGGGGGCCTTCCCAATTCGGCCCTTGGTGTGTAATATTAGAATAAACTCCAGATCCAGGTATTACTGGCTGCTTCTTTCATCAAAGGTGGGTTGGTTGGTTGGTTTGTTTGTTCTCTTAACCTGAAATGTAAGCGAAGTCCAGGTGGTTTGCAGCATATGGCCAAGATGTTTATAAATGTCAGTGTTCAAGGTGGGTGTGTAAATCTGTACTTAGGCTCCTACGGAGGAACAATGGTCTGAGTGTCAGACCTGCTTAGTGCCCAGCAGCTCCCGCTGAAGCCCAGAGGTGCTCAGCACTTTGGAAAATTGGGCCACTTGTCATAGCAGCTGTGATAGTCAGGCCGGACGGCTGCAAGAGGGTCTCTTCATAATGGGTTCTGAGAGGTGGGTGGGCGCAAGGTCCCTCTCCCCCCCAGCCTATGGGGAGGATCCGCTGAGCCTGCGACTCAAATAATTATGGGGGGCAACTGAAAAAAATAACAGGTGTGTGGGTCAAAGGGTCAAAAGTAGGGAACCTGACGGGGACACCGAGCAGAGAACCCTGGAGAGTGCCCTCTGCTTCCCAAAGTTGTCAAGGGAGCCAGTGGACGCTGCCCAGAGGAACTCTGCCCGGATACGTGAGCGGAGAGAAGAACGGAATTAGGCCACACAGTTGCAGAGAACCCCCTCAGCCAACCTCCTCTCCCTGGTGTTCTAGATGGCCACTTTGGCCATTGTTAAGCGGAAGTTGACGAGGAGGTCCCGTGACTTTGTGGGGCCATGGACAGGGTGTGCATATATAAGAAGATGGGGGGAGAAGAGCAGCCAAAAACGTCAAAGGAGGTCTAGGAGCCGGAATAGGGGCTGCAGCCTGGCACACTCAAGAGAGGCGTACGCCAGGGTCTCCCTCACGCTGCAAAAGGGCCAGGTATCGGGAAGGGAGGCGAACCGCGGCAGGTACACGCCCGTGCTCACGGCTCCATGTAGGAGCCGCCAACCGATATCCCTGGCGGGCCATAGGGCCAAGGTGGAATATAGGCTGGCCCACCGGGGTTCTTCACCCTCAACAGATGACATTAGGTCCCGCCATTTAGTGTCGGGGTGGGACACAAGGGGAGGAAATGCAAGAGGGTCTGGGAAGGCCGAGATGTTAGCCCTGGAATGTTAAAGGCCCCCTGAGAAGGGGTTACCTCAGGTTAGTTAGGGACCCCTGAATCCAATTAAGGTCTGCCTGAGGCCTTTAAAATCCCCTCCTCTGGGCAGAGAAAAGAGGAAGAGACAGAGACAAGCAGCTGCCAGGCTACAGGCAGCAGGGAAATAAGCTACTCCAGGCTGAGAGGCTGTGCTCCTTCCATAGGGGAAACAGCCAAACCTGAATGCCTGCTAGGGGAAGGGCTGACACCCCAGGGCAACCAACAGGATGACACCCTGCACCAGCGAGGAGGAAGCGAAAGGTACCCCCTGGGGTTTTGTGTTTGAGACTGTTTCCTTTTTGTTTGGTGGAGGGTCACCCCTTAGGCCAACCCTCAGGGACCAAGGGAGCACAGAAGGGGGGAGGCAAACCCTGTCCTGAGTGGGGCTGATTACCCCAGGCCCACCATCGCCAGGGGCAGAAGTGCTAAGTCTGGCGAAACGAAGGAGGTGCCTTGCCACACAGCTTAATATGGAATTAGGAGCCTGCCTTTAGCTTCCTGTTTTTGAAAACTTTGACCCACATGCCCCCTAAGCTCCAGAATAATGCTACAGCGTTTATAGTATAGTGAACATAAGTGTATGGGTGTTCTTGATACTCAAAATAAGAGACATCTGCTAAACCTCTGTTTCTCCCCCAACAATCTGCATCACTTGCTTTCTTTCCTTCTCCCTCTTTCTCCGATCCCCCATGAAATGATAAATCTGGCTTCTTTTGATGATCTGCCATTGGCGAACAGCAACGAAAATTCATTTAAAGTTCTCGCATTAGCATCTTCCATAACGATCTACAATGCTATTACAGTTTGTGATGCAAATATTGCAATGTCCCTACATACATATATCATAGTACTTTACTCTGGGAGTATGCCCCATCAATTTGAATGGGATGGTCATGAAGTAAAATACAGTGTGAGTAAGAGTATCACAGTCTGACAAAAAAGCTGTTTAAATGGTCATATGTGACGTTCTGTTAAATTCTAATGAAATCTAGATATATTTACAATGATACACAGTTTGCAAAATTATGTGTACGTGGATTGAGCTCCAAAGATTACACCACTGAAACTCTGATAAAGAGGGCTGCATAAAAATTGTGAGTGCAACCCAAAAAAGAAGGTCTTGTAAGCATAACATGCCCATATTTTTACACGATTACATTTGGAACGTAACAGCCCTTCTTGCAACTCTAAGACTCCCCATAAAGAAGACCTAATGTCTTGCATAAAAAACAACATCTAAAAACATGCAAAGAAGATGCTATTGTGAAGTAAAGCACAAGCCTATATGCAAAGCTGGCCAGAGACAGTTCATTTTAACGGGCTCTGCTGCATATTAAATCACAGTAAAATGAGCTGCATAGCTTCTTTTATGAAGCACAAAAAATTGTAGGATTGACTAAAATAAAAGCTTGACTATAAGCGAGTCTCCAGTTCGCGTTGCCTTTAGTATAACATGTCCCCCTGATCAAACATAAATACGAGATACTTACATCCAATTTGATAGTGTAGATCCTGTGTCCCCCTCAGTAACGTTTCATCAGTGGGTTGCCAAGTAGGCACATCTGGAGACAGTTAGTGGAGACATTCCTTAGCCTCTAACTGAAACTGAGGAAATCCTTGCTGAGCAAAGCAATGCTGAGTCTCCTGCATTTGGGGGCATTTTTGTTACGGAAGCCACCGAAGTTCCTCCATGCATGTATGTGTGCTAATGTGGCTTGTGACAACACTCTGTCTCTTCTCTCCAAACACTTTCTTACTGTAGTGGTGAAAGGGGCAACTGCATTAGGGAAAGGAGCTCAGTTTTCCAAGTGCTTGTCATGTGATTTAGGCAGATGTCTCAGCACACAGGCTTTGGGAAGTTAGAGAGAGCTGAGTGCAGATGTTTGCTAGCACTGAACAGGGGTTGGCTGCTTGACTGTATGTACAGTGATGGATCACACAGCCTGTTGTCAGGTCTGGAAGGCATTCCATGTATGTTTCTTAGAACAATAGCGTTAACGCCTCATAGAAAAGGGGCAGAAAATGTAAATTGCTGGGGATTAAAACATGGTACCAGAGTGGTGATTTCTTATTACCACTTAATTCTTCCCTCTGTGCTCAAGTCAAGCGAAGCACTTTACTGAACACTGGGTCTGGTCAAAAAACAGCAATTATTTTCCATGAAAATTTTGAAGGCAACAAAGCCATGTTCGGGTTGTTCAACATTTTTCACAGACTTTTATTTTTTTTGTCCAAATATTTTTGTATAGAATTTCTAACTTAAAATTTTCATTTAGATTCAACTGGATTCAAATGAAAAAGGGGGAAAATTTGACATTTGGTTTTGGTTTCTCCAGTGGGAAAAAAAATCTGGGGGACTAAATCAAATGAGGGACCAAAAAACATGAAAACCCATTTTCCCTTTTGATTTGAATCAAATGGAATTAAAACAAAAACATTAATTTAGAATGGCATCTAAATTCATGTAGTCACTGGCCTGCTGAATAACCATGGGCGAGTTACAGTGCCTCCTTGTGCCTCAGTTTCCCCATCTGTAAAATGGGGATAAGAATACTGATTTCCTGTGTGAAGTGCTTTGAGATTTACTGATGAAAAGTGCTATAGAAGAGCTAGGGAGTCCGAGAAGTATTTATTAGTAGTAGTACTTTTTCATTTTTGACAAAACAGAAAATTTTAAATGTTCATATTGTCCAAAAAAGCAATTTTTGGTAAAAAATAAAATAAAATAGTAATAATAATTTCAACCAAAGCATTTTCACCAGCAATACTGACCACACAGGTGTAAAAGTGATATACCATAAAGCTTTCTAATATGGACAGGTACAACTGAGCAACTTCAGCTAGTATTTAGTCCCGTGAAACAGAACAGCTTATTAACAAATAATGTGACCAATGCACCCCGCCCCCAGGCTTTAGCATTACTGGCCTTATTCTTTCCCCAGGGAAATGAATGGAAAACTTCCCACTGATCCCAGTGGGAGCAGAACTGAGCTGTGAGACAGGGCTGTGCCTAATTTTCATTTTGCCCCAGGGGATATAGACAGCCATGCTGGGAGTCTGCCCTGGAGTCTGATAGCTGACTGGATACTGCATTGCATTTCCAGTCTGAAGCCAGTCACTTGTGGAACAAGGCACTACCTACCACACAGAGCAGCAGCTCCCTAGCTGTGCCGCTACTTTTACAATGCTCCCTCTGGGCCCCAGCCACCCAGAGTGGACACGGAAGCATGGCCGGCTCCAGGCACCAGCAAACCAAGCAGGTGCTTGGGGCAGCACATTTTCAGGGGCGGCATTCCAGCCAGCCTCTTTTTTTTTTTTTTTTTTGGCGCTTGGGCGGCAAAAGCCTAGAGCCGGCCCTGGCAGCAGCAGCGCGTCCTGCACCGGGGGCACCCTGGGGCCGCTGCGGTTCGCGTCGGGGAGCAGCACCCGCACCTTATGGCCGGGCGGGCTCCGAGCGCGGGACACTCGGCTGGGGGCCGCCCCTCGGGGCACACGGAGCTGTCTGCATGTGCTGCAAGGCGGCCGCCCCCCCAGCACCACAGCCGGGGCTGGGCGAAGCAGCCAGAGCCGCCCAGGGACTGCGGCAGGGCGGCCAGGAGCAGCAGCAGGAGCGGGGCCATAGAGGGCGGGGCGCTGCTGTGTGGTGCCCGCATCCCGCTCTCCGTGGCTCCAGTCCCTCTGGGGCTGCCCTGCCCCGGCTCCTCAGCCCTCTGCTGGGGCGGTCCCCCCGGCTCTGTCCTCCCCGGTCCCGGCCGGTCCTGGAGGCGGGAGCTCTGGCTGGAGGGACCCTGGGCTGAGGCACGGCCCGGGAGCCCCGCTGCTTACCCCGACCCTGCCAGCGCTGGACCGGCTGGAGGCGAGGGGGGAGTGGGTGGAGTCAGCGCTGGTGGGGGGAAGCCCAGGGTTGTGGTGGCAGAGGGTGCGGGTGGGATGGGGGGGAGGGAGAGCCGAGGGTTGGGGCGGCACGGGGTGCGGGTGTGGGGGGGGGGGAGAGCCCAGGGCTGGGGTGGGAGGCAGTCAAAATTTTTTTTGCTTGGGGCAGCAAAAAACCTAGAGCCGGCCCTGCACGGAAGCATGCCATAGACTCACTGCTCCTCCCCTCCGGTGAGTTTTGGGGCCTCCCTGTCCCCTTGCTTCCTTCCACGGGATGAAGATAAACAGGGAGTCTCCTAAGTCTTACCTCTCCTCTGTGGGTAGCTGCTGCTGCTGTTTCGCGACCCATGCAGTAGGGACTGGAAGGTAAGGAGAAGAACAGTGGCCAGGGGTGGACCTCTCTCTCCTGACACTGCTACCTATTCATTGCTTCCCTTGTACCTTGTTCCCCTCTCCGATGTGTCTATTTTCTTCAGCTGTCTATTGTCACATGCTCTGAGGCAGAGACTCATATTTTTGTAATGTGAGCATATAGCTTCTAGCAGCATGGGGGGCCTCAATCTCAGGTAGGGGATCTCGGCGCTACTGCGGTACAGATAATTAATAGCACATGGCTTTTCCGAGGTGTTCTGCAGATGGAAGACCCAGAGGAGCACTGCCAGTTGGCCAAAGGAGCAATAGATCCACCCAGAGCTTTTGATAGACAAAGGAATTTTGCGGCGCTCAGTTACTCAGCACATGGCGAGCGTGCTAACATTGACACACTGCTGGACTTGTTTATAGGCCCCACTGGAACGAATGAGGAGAATTTGGGTTTATTAGCTGTTCGCAGATTTACTGTTTCCCATCACGTGTGTTGGGCTGTACAGGATATTCTTAGAGCTGACACTGGTTCTCCAACCCACTGTAAGGCATCTTGTCCCTCAAGGGTCACTGGACAAGGTTGGCAGAAGGCTCAGTCTGGCATGTGAAGCTTTTAAATGAGCAAAGACCTACCCCGCTAAAAGAGAACCGGAACTGCTCATGATCAGATTTGGTTGATGTGTCAAACGTCACTCTCGTCCATCACCAGGACCGCCCGGGGGGGGGGGGGGGGAAGTGGGGAAATTTGCCCCAGGCCCCGCAGGGGCCCCCACGAGAGTTTTTTGGGGGCCCTGAAGCGGGGTCCTTCACTCGCTCCGGGGGCCCCGGAAAATTCTCGTGGGGCCCAGGCCCCTGGAGCTTCTTCCGCTCCGTGTCTTTGGTGGCAATTCGGCGGCGGGGGGTCCTTCCGCTCCGGGACCCACCACCGAAGTGCCCTGAAGACCCATGGCGGGGGGTCCTTCCGCCCCGGGACCCACCGCTGAAGTGCCGGGTCTTCGGCGGCAATTCAGCGGCGGGGGCCCCCTGCCGCCGAAGGCCCCAGGCCCCCTGAATCCTCTGGGCGGCCCTGTCCATCACTAGGGCAGAGAGCCCTGAACTCTGAGATCCTCCCCTGATACATTGATCCATGGGGTTAGTATTAGAACAGGGCGATACGTGGAAGAAGGATGGTCTTGTGGCTAAGGTATTGGACTGTGGAAAAATCCTGACTCCACTTAAGTCAATTGTAAACCTCCCAGGGAACAGGATTTCACCCCTGGGTTCAGTTCCAGGTTCTGCCAAGACTTCCTGTGTGACCTTGGGGAAGCCACTTAATCCCTTCATGCCTCAGTTTCTCATCTGTAAAACCGAGATGATCATTCCCTACCTCTCAGGGATAAGTTCACTAACGTTTGTGAAGTGCTCAGATACTGTGGTCAATGAGGGCCATGTAAGTAGCTCACAACTTACATCATGGCACTGAAACTAAGGGAACTTTGCCTGTCTTCAAGTTTTGTAACAAACCTCAATTTCTGGTCATATTTGCTGACAGGCCCATCAGTGTTATAGGTGGAACCTCTATGGAACTTGGTGGTGAAGCTTGGTTGTGATGTGAAACCAGAGCATTTAACTGGGGCGGGGGAGGAAGCAACCTGCAAACCAAAAATCACTGATGTTTGCACAGCTGTCACCCGAATCCAAACCACATGGGCTTTGCACGTCCCTGTTTCTGGACAGCAGGATTCTCATTATTATTATTATTATTTGTATCACCACAGTGCCTCGGAGCACTAGTCACGGACCAGGACCCCATTGTACTAGGTGCGGTGCTAACATAGAACAAAAAGTTCCTGTCCCAAAGAGCTGACAATCTAAGTATCTCCAGGATCTTTCAGGTGGATAAGTTGTCAGAGCTGGTGAAGGCAGTTATTCGCTCAGAGCTTCCCATGGTGCCCTCATTTCTTTTTACCGTTGCAACATCCCATATTCGATTATATTCCTCTTTTTAATAGGTTTTATTGAGTAAGAAATGAAAGCGGAGGCAAAGAAAGCCAAACTAATTTACTTCTTTTTCTAAAGACATTGTAAAAATATTATCTGATATATGCAATCAATATTCACCAAAAATACATGTTTCTTTATAGAAGAAGTCAGAAAAAATAGAACAGAATACTTTCCGATATAAAAGACAAATACTATTGAGGTTAAAGGCTGTAAGTTGGGTGCACATGCTGCAGCGCTGAAATCCCTCAGCACTGGAGCGGCAAACTGTTAATCTCGATCTGGAGCTGAAGTTCCGGGGAATCCAGAGCTTCAGTTTGAGATTTTCAAACCTGACGAGGGGATTGAGCCACACAGCTCTTACTGAATTGACTAAGTGTGGCGTGACTCATTCACTTAGTTGGCTTGGAAACTTTAACCACGGTTTAGCCCTTAGTAGAGACAGGGAAAACCGACAAAGCTTGGATCCAGACCTCAACTTGCCCAAAATGTGGGTCCATTTTTAAACAAAAGACACAGGGCCAGATCCTAAAGCAGTAACTCCACTGAAGTCATAACCTCTGGGGGCCTGGCTCACGGTGAA